CCCCCCCCGCGATGACGGAGCCCCTCACCACCAATATCGAGCCGGTCCCCACGAAGGGGTCGAAGCAAAGCTTGCCCTTCCCGACGAGGGCCATGTTGGCCATCACCAGCGCCAGCTCGTTGTCCATGGAGGTCGGTCCCAGGTAGGGCCTCTTCTTCAGGTCGAACGCGGCCACCAGGTCGCGGTTGCCCTGGGCGACTTCCCTTCCGAAGTACACGTGCTGTGGTGGTGGTGATGGTGAAAGGAAGGCTTTTTGTAGCCGGTTGCCTTTGAAAGTACAAGTAGTGTTGATGTTTTGTGGTGGTGATGTGCGGCCGTGGTTTCGTTTGTGTTGTTGGATGCGTTGTTGCCGGGAAGGCTTGAGCCCGATCCCTCCTAAATGTAAACGTGCCGTTTGCGTTGTTGTTGGTGGCCCGCGATCGTCGTTGTGTTTGTGTTTTTGCATGTGTTGTTGCGTGGAAGGCCGTAGTCAGGGTGTGTTTGTTGGAGGGTGCGAGGGAGTAGGGTCGAGCGAGGATTTTCGTGAAGATCCTGAAACAAGCGAGCAGACCCGACATGGCAAAGCACAGAGCGATTACCGTACACGTTGCGACGGCGGGTCCCAAGATAATCTTATTGAGCACAGAGCGGAGGGGGGGGTGGGGCACCGTGCGGGGGAGGCACACACATGAAGTAGAAAGGTACGCATACACAGCTCAAAACAAAACTGTGCGGGCATGTCTGGTCGATACATATTAGGACGGCTTTCAAATGTGAGGACGACCACGACCAGCCCTTCGCGGTCCCTGTCGTGTCTGACCGAACAATCGACCACCACGACATCAGCAGCAACAACAACGACAACGACAACAACGAGCGCATCATTACCTCGGGCAGCCGTCCCTCTCGGTACTCGTCCTCCGACTCGTAGTCGCCAAACACCTTTGGGACACAAAAAAATGCGCGCATGAACAATTCCGTGAGGGGTGCTGGGGGGGGGGTGTCCCTGGATTGACTTTTCTTAGCAACTGACCACCCGTTAACCGGTCAAAACTGGGTTGATTCGGGGGCAAAGAGCACCTGCGGCAGCCTAGGCGTACCAAAACATAGTGTCCCGATTCTCAAGTACTATTCTCTATTGTTTGCAGGAACAATGTCAAGTTTTAGTTCGAGGCGGTCGTATTATCTTGAACCCCGCACACCACCGCCGCTAGCACTTTCCGACAGCCCCACGCACGCAGGCACACCGGTGTAAATGAACAATAGACCACCTCTAGACGCGTGCCAGAACAATCTGGAAAGGAATTATTGCGGGAGCGTGACTGGGAAGTTGGAGCGAGCAGGGGCATACAGGCGTGGTACGAATGAGCAGAGGGCCACGCGTCTTGATTGCGCCGCACATACACATGCGACGAACGGCTGGACTCAGAGCTATCCTATAAAACAAACTCCCGGAACACGCAAATTAGCACACCTAAAACGACTTCACCCAAGGAAGGTGTACACCAACAGATAGTAGCAAGGCCGAGAGTACGAGGGAGAAAAAAACAGCACAGCTGTGTGTAGGCAAGGCCAGCAGCAGTGGAACCCGCAGCACAAGGCAACACCACCAAGCAAGCAGAACAGCAGGGAAATATTACAGAGGCAGCAGCCCCGCCACCGCAAGCCAAACGCACACTATCATCGCTCGCTAAGCGACGCTCATCACGCCCAAAGGGTTATTAGAACGGTGCAGTGCGCCCCACCTGGAAGAGGTGCTGCGGATTCCGCAGCCTCACGCGCCCCTTGAATGGCAGGAAGGAGAACATCATCCTCAACCGCTCCTGCTCCTGCAGCTTGACGGAGTAGCCGGCGGACCCCACCTGAAAACACATACGAAACAGTTGCACGCGCGCGGCGACGGCGCAAATCAACAAAATATGCGAAGAATGCCACCAACAACGGGTAGACGCAACAGCCGTTACCCGTGTATTGATCGGCCACTATGTGAGAACAACAACAGCAGCAGCAGCAAAACAACAACACCCCTCTCCCCCTTTCCCCTTCCTCCCTGTCGTACCGTAACGGACCAGGTGACGTCCTCGGCGAAGAAGGGTCGCTTGATTTCTTCCGGGAACTTTTTCACGGCTTCGGCCGCCTCCTCCGGCGTATCCCCCTCGCCCCATAGCTCCAACACCTGAAAAATCATGCACGGTGGTATAATGGGAATAACAATTGAGACAGCCCGACACGAAAGAGAACATCGCAAAGCAACAAAAAAACTATTTCGTCCACTGAATCGTAAGCTGCACCTTGTAGAAATCAATTTATCTGCTTTCTGTGGTCCTGCCGACCCCACCGGAGTATAAATTCAGAAAGGGGAGAAAATCGGCCCTTACTTGGGAGTTGAGCGTTTTAGAAATTGACGTGGCACGTTCCATGTCGCCCCGTTATCCCGTTAGAGCAAGGTGAAAACCGTCAAAGACAACCATGGAACATCATGCACGCGGAAGGATTTGAAGTTCTACGTTTTCAGGTTTTTGGCGGCATTGGCAGCATCTGGCATGTTCAAGCGCAAGGAGTCCTCATCGAGATCATGCATGCTTCCTTCCACCCCCGAACACCCTCGCCCCGAAAGCAGCGTCAACGCCGAACAGAACGCTCGCATCATCAGGTACGGAAAATAACCCCGCGTCCTCATGTCATATCAGGTCGCCCCGGTGGTCTACTTGGTATCCTCGAAACCTTCTGGAGGTCAGGTCAGGGGTTCGAATCCCGGCGAAAGCGAGCTTATCTTGCAAAGTTAGTTTTTCTCTCACTTCCGCTCCTGACCTAGTGGATAACGCTATTATAATGGTTCGTGTGTACACAGAAGGAAGAGAGTGCTGACCTCTTCTCCCATTAGAAATCGAAGGCAAAGTACCGCAGGAGGGGATGGTAGAAAGGGGGCTCTTCTGTGTGTCCACGGGTAGGAGTAAACGGCACTGGTACGGTGAGCGCTGATTTGAAGTGAAGACAAAAAAAAAAAAATCATCAGATGAAACTACTACTACCGGTGGAAGTAACTCCGTTTTTCGGGCTCAGATTCGGTAGAGGCTGATGCTGATGACAACGACATATGAGCTCCGGGCTCTGCTGGTGGCAACCGCAGCAGAGGAGTCCCTTTCGCGCCAATCGAGTGTTTCGTGGTGTTCTCGATCAGCCGAACGCTAGTGACGGCGTTCTTGTCGATTGTCTTGGTGGCGTGGGCGTTGGATGTTGGCGATAATTCTGTCGGTGGTGGTGTCAAAGCAGGTTCTACCACTGCCTACGATGCCGTTGGTGTCGGTGTTGATTTTCGCGTTGGTGTTGTCGCCGCAGGCGGTGTCCTTGTGATTGCTGATGCAGTCGGATCTGTAGACGAGATGACTGCTGTTTCAGGTGCCCTGCGCATAGGCGCACGGTGGGTCGTACGACCAGACGATGAATTTACGGAGCCCCCCGCGTCAGCCTGCATGTGGGCAATCCCTGTTCTTTCCCCCTGCCCGGGGTGAATGATAACAAGCCTCAAGACATCACGCATCACAGCTCCTGTAAGGAATACCGGCCGTGCCAACTCAGGGTGTACAAACAGGGAGTGCTTAATGTCTTAGAGCCATTGGTGCTGGTCTTCGCTGGTCGGATGGTTTAAAACCACGGTAACGGGGGTGGACGCAGCAGTCTGTGCCCGGTAGGGTTAGACGTCATGTATTTTTCGCGGATTGCTGCTGTTGCGCTCGGATGGGTGTCGATGGACACAACAATGGTCAAAGGACGTGAAAATGTACGGCGACACGAAACAGAATACATGAATGATCTCAAACATACCTTGCGAATGAGTATTGCCCTTGCCGCCACAGCGACAACGACCTCCTCGGATGGCACCTCCACCACGAGGAAGGGGCTTGTCTGGGAACGCGAGGGATACGTGGTGTAGACGTTTACCACACAGAACACGAGTAAGGAGATCCGAGCGCACTACTTACCTATTTAGAAAGGACCAAAGGAGGCGGAGCGGAGCAAAATAAGGAGGTGACGCGGGGCGAGTGGTTCTCCTGATGATGTCGCCAACTCCGACGCCGATCGTACCCAGTCTTTGGGGGGGGTTCTTAGGGTTTGATGTAGCTGCAAGGAAAACGATGCCATGCATCTGCACATTTGTACACAACTCGCCTAATTCTTCCACGTTCCTGGCTGCCTCTCTAAATGCTTGTGGGAGCCACTGGACTGTCAGCTTCTTGGCAAACACCTGCAGCTCCGCTGCACAAAAGCACACGAATGGAAGCACACGAGCAAAGCACAGCGCGCCATTGCAGCAACATCCTCCGCTCAAGATCGTGCCTAATTGTCGTGCTATTGCTAACGGCTCCGATATCCCCTTCACGTAACGTGGTGCTCACCTTGTGTCCCCGGGATACGATGGCCCAGGCCGTATCATGATCGTACGCCGCCGCCGGCTCCACACCGTTCAGCTCCAACAAGGTGTCCAGTTCGGGCAGCCAGAACGACTCATGCTGCTGAGAAAAATGGATGAGGTATTTCATGCGTGTCGGGGCCGGATGCCTGCGTGTCTCTTGTGTCTTGACCTGGACACAGCACAGCAAAGTGTGTATGTTGGGCGAACATCTTGTCGGACTTAAGGGGTTCCCCAGAGCGGACAATTTGGTGATAAGGGTGGACGTGAACCATTCTGCGTAACCCCTCGCTGCGTCTTCTCCCCGCGCCATTTCCGCGGTGCACCGTTGGGTTTCCCATTTCCAGATCCTAACAGCACGGAGAATCGGAGTTGCGGGGGCGGGGTCGCAGAGAAGAAGGACTGCTGGCGCGTGGACATTGTAGCCTTATTTTCGGAGGAGAATATTTTCAGCGACGTGGGGAGAGCTTGCTCTCTCAGACAGGGAAGGTGAGATAAATGTGTTTTATGTGTTTCTTTTGCGCGCTGCCGTTTTTTTTTTCCGGCCCCCGCACATGAGAACGTTCGCGGCCTTCCGCGGAGAGCGGAAGAGACGAAGGGATAGCAAACCAACCCCATGGCTGGGGCCTGTTGGATATGAGTTGCAGCGGTCGCTGCGGCTGATTGCAGATGCTCATGAGCTGCACGCCTGCTGCTGCGCTGGCGCGGTTTGTTCCAGTCGTGTACCTCCGGAAAGATCTATTTTTGTGAAGGGAGAGAACGCGCCGCTTGTTATGCACGATGCACGCCTCGTCGATTCGCTTTTATTTCCCATATGACCTACCATGGTACTATCATCGAAACACATGTCCCGTGCTACACGTAGCCCAGAGAGCGCCGAAGACATGGTTGTGGGATAACCAGCTCTCGAGGCCGCTTTCTATCACAAGGATTGCCGATTTGCCTCGTTTCGTCCGGTCACGTGCAGCAGTGGGCGGCGGAATACGTCGTAGAGTACATAGGATACACACACGAATGCTGCTGCTCCTAGGAGGGAGATCCTCAGAAGACTGCCGCTATGTATGCACCGCTATGTATGCACATATTGTGCCAAATATCCAATTCCACCGGCACCATTGCCGGCACCCAGCATTGCTCACACTCATGGCATAACTTCACCGCGCATGTACTTCAAGTACGCCACTTGATTCCGCCGGCACTACATACTTCAGAGGAGCACCCGGTGTTCAGATACCACAGACGAAAGAGCCCAAGGAGGGTGTACTACTCTTACTCCGAAATGTTGGTTTGAAGGTGAACACATAGTTAACGACCTGAGGCTTGCGATCTCCCAGCGTGGTGATGAAAGAAAGAGGGGGTTGAGAGCATTAACCCTTTTGGGTCTAGGCTAGTCGCCGGCCGAAAGCGTGGTCC